TCCAGGTCCGTCGGTTTCGGTCCCAGGCCGTTTTCAATGGGAGGGGGTTTGCTAAAGGGAGGTTTGTCCACCGCCGAAGGGGGCGTGCGTCGCCCTCGGCAGAGGCCGACAGTGGCCCAGCAGGGGCCTTGGCTTCTGGGTCGTTTCGTGGATCTGTTTCGGAGAATATACTCGTGGCCGAGGCTTGCCGTGGCCAGCAAAGCCCATTCGTTCCTTTTTCGGCGTTCCTTCTGGTAGCACGGTGGCTGTACGAAGAGTGGGTTTGGGAGGTCGGGCCCCAATGTGCTTGAAAAGCAGTTCGTCGGGGGATATGGGGGTGGTGACAGGAGAGAGAGAGAGAGAGAGAGAGAAAGAGAGAGAGAGAGAGAGAGAAAGAGAGAGAGAGAGAGAGAAAACAAAAAAAGATAGCGAGAGAAAGAGGGAGAGCGCCAAGCTATGTGCGGTCATGCATCATCTGTCATCCTATCCTTCCGTCCCATCCCTTGCATTTCGCTGATGAGTGTCTCTCCATCCGCGGACGTGTGTCATGGCCGACCTGAAGCTCCAGTCACAAAAACCACATCGTGATATGCGCAATCGGAGAAACGGGCGCTGCGTGTACTTTTTTACGTCGCAGCGCGGCAGAGGCGATCCGAACGCGCGTCGGAACGAGGCCGGGGCACGGCAACGCGAATTTGCCCGCATGCAGGAGGGGAGGAGAAGCGGGAGACGGCCGCGGAGGAGGGGGCAGAGCGCGAGGGTACATTCACGCAGCAGGCTACGGGGAGCGTGGCGGCGGCGGCCGGGCTGAGGGTTGGCCCCTGGCAGCTGCCGCGGGTCGGCATCGCAGTGCACCCAGGGGCTGGGACCGGCAGCCGCAGTGCGGGCGGGGCTCGGCAAGTGGGGAGCGCGAAAAGCCAGCGGCCGGAGAAACGGGGCTCCAGGCGAGGGGGGATGCAGCGAAGCCGGCGGCGGCAGGCGGGGGGGTGCGCCAGCGGGCAGCAGCTGCGAGAAGCCCAGGCGGCGGGCAGCGGGCAGGACAGCGGCGGAGCTGCTATGCAGATGGCCAGCCAGCCGCGGGGCGCGGTAGGGGGATAGGTACCTGGAGAAGCGACGGACGCCACCCCGAAACCGATGTACGGCATCACGGCTGGGGGCGGGCGGCACCCAGTGCAAGTTGCGCACGGGCGGGGCTCCCGCGAGGGGAAAAGAGGGGCGGGCCCATCAGGGGCCGCAAGGGTGCAGGCCGCGAGGCGAAGCGGGAGGCGAGCCGCGACAGCGGTGGCCCTCCAGCGGCAGCGAAGGCCGAGGACAGGAGCAAGACCACGTGAAGGGCACGGGGGCTGCAAGAGCGGCCAAGTAGCGCGCGAGAAGAGGGGGCAGTCCCGAGGCCGGGAAGTGGCACTACTGTCAGCCCGCATGCCGCGCATCCGTCTGATACGGGTTGACAACCCGCATAGCAAGGATGGCCAACCTTCCCAAGGGTACCCCTGCATCCCTGCCTCCTCGATCCATCCCTCGCCACTTTCGTTGGCCGCGCCCCGCTCGAAAAGCTTCGAACCAGATCATTCCAAGGCCCTTGCATCCTTATGATGCGGGCCGGCTGTAGGGGGGGGGGGGGGCGGGCCGCAACGGCGGAGACCCCAAGCAGGGACAGCGCCCACCAAGGACAGGCGCGTGCCCATGCGCAGGTGGCCAGGCTGCCCCCGGCGCCCCCAGCGGGGAGGGCCCACCGCCCGACGCGCGCGGCGGGGGGCGCTGAGCCCGGGTGAGGGGCGGAAGGCGGGCGGCAGCGCCTAGCCAGAGGGCGCGGGCAGGCCAAAGGCGGCGCGCCCCCCGGGGACGGTGGCGCGTCGGGAGCGGAGAGCAGCCGGGCAGGGTACCGAGCAGCTGGGCGGAGGGGGAATGGGGAGGGCCGCCCGGGCGCGTCTGCGCACCGCATGGGCTGGATTGGACGGCGCGCAGGAGGCCTAGCGGCGGGCGCGCAGTGGAGGCGCGGCAAGGAGCGCCTCACTGGTGCGCGGGCGGGTGGAAGAGTTGCGGGCGGCGCCCTCCAAGGGCGGAACCAGGCAAAGCGGGAGCACTTAACTGGTGCGCGTGCTGGTGGGAGGAGTGGTGTGCGGCGGACATGGGTGGGTGGGTGGGAAAAGAAATCTTGCGATGCCGCGCTTAGAGGCATCGCTGGTTTGGCATTTGCCCGCCGTCGCGCGCCTGCGAGTGGCAAAACCTGTGCCTGCCCAGGTGCGCGAGAGAACGGCTCGGCCTTTAGCCAGAGGCTACGGAAGCTGCGTGCACATGAGGAGGCGGAGTTGGCGGGTGAGCAGGAGGAATTGGCAGGAGGAAATTGACGAGAACGACTAGCAGCAGCAGCAGCAGCAGCAGCAGCAGCAGCAGCAGCAGCAGCAGCAGCAGCAGAAGCAGCAGAAACAGCAGCAGCAGCAGCAGCAGCGGGAACTGGAGTGGAAGGAGCGGGAGGTGCAGGAGGACCAGGGGAAGGCGGAGGAAGGAACATGAGGGAGGCCGCAACGATGAAGAAATATTCGGATCCAGGGAATTGGCCCGCGCTGGGGCGAGAGCGACATCCTGAACGACTGGAGCAAAGCGCCGATCCGAAACTGAGGCCCACGCTGCAGCGGGAGCACCGTTTGTAAGCGCCGAAAATCGTCGGATCGCAACACAACTTTTGAGAACCAAGCAAGTCTTTTTAAATCTTGCGTGTAACAAAAAAACAGCAAGCGGAGATGGCCCGGGATTTTACGAACGGAGTCAGGGAAAAGAGGAGCTTGGATTCTTCATTGAATAGAAGTGAGAGAGATTAACAAAAAGAGATATAGGGAGAGAGGGTGAGAGAGAGAGAGAGAGAAAGATAGCGAGAAAAAAATATAAATTCATACAACTACAAGTATTGAGCCATCATTCGCGTCCCCAGGAGGCGCCTCGTTTTGAAACTCCAGAACTTTGGGGGTGCTTGTGGGCACAGGTGCCTTGCCCCCTCCCCCCCAGCTTACCCTTGGCGCACATTGCGCCTGCATCCCAGACAATCTCGATTGGCCGTGGCGTTTGAGTCTGGAGACCAACAGTAACCAGAGTGGTGGTACTGGGCCAGACTCTCACACTCCTCTTGCTAGCGCTTCGACCCGGGGGGAGGAAGGCTCAATCAGCCTTGGAAACACCACGGCGACATGGGTGGCGCATGCTTTCCAGTCGCACAGGACATCAGTGAAGGTGCCGCGCTTGCCCAACTTGGCACGGTGTCAGCAAGGAATCGCTGAACACATGTGGTTCCTCCTCCTCCTCCTGCTCCTCCTCCTTCTGCTCAATCTCCCCATCTTTGCGCGTTGCTTCCTAGGGTTGGACTGGAACCAGACTCGGTGTGACACTGTGCGCAGGCCAGTAGGACGCATGGCCATTGGATCGACTCAGAATTTTGTCCTGTCATGTAGTCGTCCTAGTACTCCCTGGCACACCCTCTCCCTCTCTCCCTCCTCTCCCCATCCGGTGTGATACGATTGGTCTATCGGCGTCAATCAATGCGTAGCATGAGGAGCAAATTTGCTTATATCCCCCAGGGTTTACGGCTCCAGCTCCTCGTCCTCCTCCTCCTCCTCTTCCTCCTCCTCCTCCCCGTCTTCCCATTCTCCGACGTTGTGATTTGTGTTTCGCAGCGTGCGTCCCTTAAGGGGACTGGAACTTTTCCACAGGGACCGGCCTTTGATTTTGAGTCGCCTCTTGACGGCTCCGCGGCCGCGTAACGGCCCCCAGAAGTCCAACAACATTGACAACATTTTCTTTCGTGCTTCCCTGAGATCCGATGTTGCGAAAAAGTGGCAACATCGCGACGATCACCTAGACCCCACCGTTCTGCGTCATTTTTCGAGCCGGATCGATCTGTGATGGTCCCGGGGCCTGAAACCGGAGGAACACGCTCGGTGTGAACAATTCGCAACGCCGGGATCTCAGGGTGCTCTTGTGGTTCGTGAGGGGAGGAGGTCTGGGCCCCCCTCCGATGGTGCGCGTGCGCGGGAGTGCGTGGTATCAAATCATGGGAGCCTTGTTTACCCTCGCAATTCCCTTTTTCAGAGTGCGCTAGCGTCGACCAGCGTCTGGTAGTCGATGAGATAGCGTCGACGAGCGTCGATTAGGCCCGATACGCGTCGGTTCAGCGTCGACCAGCGTCGATTCGCAAGGGCCAACAAGGTTTAAGACGGGCTTGTCCCTCTACCGGGGGGAAATTCAAACATAGTCGAAAAATAGTCCAGGGACTTTTTTTTCTTCATTTTTTGGCCATTTTCGGAATATTTTTTGAGTAGTTTTTTTGTCGAAAATCCCCCTGTAGGGGGACAGGCCCGACTTAGCCTAGACTCATCGGGGACAAATCGAAGACGAAAACACGCCATGCACATAAACTTTTGGCGCTCCGCGCGGATTTCTTGGATCCGCGCCTGCGCCCCCCCAGCGGGGGGGCGCAGGCCCGACTTGAAACCAGGTGGCCTGCGAGGC